CCTGATTGCAATGAGTATCACGAGTGGCTCAACCCACCTGTACATTAAATCTGTTTATTGGTAATATCTTGCCATTTTCTGCCGGTAGCAGTATCCGTCACGCCCTTTTATTTGGTTCCTACTTGTTAAATATGAAAACGCTGCATTGCTGAGCAGCATCAGGTGGGGTTCAGGGACTACAAGTGCAAATTCTGCATTTTGGCACTTCAGAGCGTGTATGTACCTAACACGGGCATCGCAGCAGCCTAGCTTACCTCCTCTGTTGCCCCTTGGACCACAGGCAGAGATGATGTGCTAGTCCATCTTGTAACTGCTGTTCTGACTTGTTCTCAGGTTCTGCACCTTATCGCGAGGGGAAGAGCAATGCTAGCACCATCCTTGCCTGCACGCATCGGCAGAGACTTACCGGACTTAAGTATTTCTCCACTGAAAATAGAATTGGGGTTTGGTGTGTTTCTCCGGGCTGCTTTAAGAGGCTGAGGTGGCTGGAGAATGACTCTCTGTTCCTGATGCCTCTGTAATAGAAGCATAAAAATGTGGAAAGGAGCGGGAAGCTGCTTCTGCAGCAATTGCTCCTTCCGAAATACGGAGGGTAAAAAAAAACAAAACAAACAAAAAAAAAAACCCCAACAAACAAACAAACAAACAAACAGGGGGAATGGTCCAGAATGTCATAATTAACCAGCGCTGCAAAAGCCACCCTCCCCACACCCGGGTGGGTGCCACAGCCCTCCCCACACCCACGTGGGTGCCACAGCCCTCCCCACACCCGGGTGGGTGCTGCCGCCCTCCCCACACCCGGGTGGGTGCCACAGCCCTCCCCACACCCACGTGGGTGCCACAGCCCTCCCCACGCCCGGGTGGGTGCCACAGCCCTCCCCACACCCGGGTGGGTGCCACGGCCCTCCCCACACCCACGTGGGTGCCATGGCCCTCCCCACGCCCGGGTGGGTGCCACGGCCCTCCCCACACCCACGGTGGGTGCCATGGCCCTCCCCACGCCCGGGTGGGTGCCGCCAGCCCTCCCCACGCCACGGTGGGTGCCGCCGGCCATGTTGGCGCTTTAGTCGCGGTGCCGTTGCCTCGGCGTGTCCGTTCCACGGGGGGCAGTCGGAGGGACAACCCCCGTCACCCGTCCCCGTCCCCAAAAAGCCGAGGGACCCTGAAACAGCCCCTCGGTGGGGCGTGATCACCAGCTCCGCTCTGCCCACGTTTTCCGGGGGTCCGGGCTGGTGGTTGAGGCCAAGTGGGGAGAACTGGGGGCAGGAGGGGAAAGGGGTGGGTGAGGAGTAGTTGTCCTGGGAATCAAGACGGGGCGACTCGCTTTTTGCCACCAGCTCCCCTCGAGACCCGTTCATTCTCCCTCGAGCCCTCCCCCTATCCCCCAGCCCCCTCTGCAGCCCCCAGCCTGAGCCGGTTGCCCCCTCAGAACCTCTCAGCACCCCACGGTGCCTCTTGGTGTGCCCTAGAGGCCTCCGTCGGCCCCCTGGTCCCCGCAGCACCCCTCTGTCGGGCTCCTTGCGTTGCAGGCACCCTAATAAAATAGCTTGAATACTTGCACCCTCCCGCGGAGCCTCCGGGACCCCCCCTTGGCCCCCATCGTGCACAAGAGCCCACCGCTGGCCTTCACCGGGGCCCGTGGAGGGCTCCGGGGCACAGTCCGACTCCTCCGTTTGCCCCGTAGCTGCCTTAGGAAGGCTCCAGTGCCCTCGGGACCCCTCCCGAGTCCTTCGGTGCGCCCCAGGCCCCTGTGCGGGACGTCGAGCACCCCAAGGCACCCCACTGCACGGGGGGCCTGGCCCCTAGACCCCACACCACCGCTTTAGTCCCCTCGGCCCCCCTCCGGCGGTGTCTGTGACGCCCCAGAGCCTTCTGTTGCTCGTCTGGCCGCCTCAGCACCCCGCTAGTCCCCCCCAGGACCCTCCCGAGGCATCCCTGCCGGCCGGGGCGCGCCGTTTGTCCTGTCGTCCCTCGGGGAGCCCTGCGGGTACCCGCCGGCCCCCGTAGCACCTCCGGCCTCTGCCTGGACACGGGGCGGGGAGGTGGCGGCGGAGCAGCGGCGGGTGCCTGGAGCCCCACGGCATGGAGCCCCACGGCATGGAGCCCCACGGCATGGAGCCCCACGGCATGGCCGGAGCCGGGGCCACCCTCCCCGTGGCCTCTCCTGGCTGCGTGACCGAGGGGGCCGCGGCGGCACAGCTCCGCTTCTCCTCCCGGGTGGGGACCGAGCCGTGGCGCTGGGGGGAGGATTGCTGCAGGGCCGGGAGACGGGGGCTGCGGCCCGAGGGCTCGTTCAGAGCAGCATCCCCGCGCCGTGGGGTGCTGTGTGTGGGGCAGGGCTCGCTCTGGGGCTCAGCGGGGAACTTCTGGAGGGCCGCTGGAAAGCTGGGGCGTGGGGCAGCTCCCCCCCGGCCGCCCCGATTCCCTCGTGGGCTGCCACCTGCCCTCTGCCACCCCAAAGGAGAGACCCCCCCGGGGGTGGCCAAACGCAGCTTCTTCTCGGGAAATCCGCACTGAGGAGTAAACGTGCAGAGCGAGCGGCGGTTTGCCGAGGGACAGGCCAGCGGTGGCACTCCCTGCTCATCACGCTCCGGGCGCCGCACAGCGGGAGGACACTGTGGGGCTGGGGCTGCCCCGGATTGATTCAATTATCGCCCTTTTCCCGAGGGAATTGCCCCTCTGCCCGGCTCAGCAGCACAGCGCTCGCTTCCGCACCCGCCCAGCTCCCTCCCCTCACCCCCCAGGGTGAGCGAGTGGCTGCCGGGCAGGTTTAAACCACAATTTAGTTGGGGGGAAAAAAAAAAAAAAAAAAAAAAAAAAAGCGTTGAAGTCTTGAGGATAGCGTAGAATCGCTGGCCTTGCTGTGGTCTAAAACAGTCCATCTGGGGGATTTTATTTTTGTTTCTTTATATGCTAGCGGCTGTGGCAGGTGAAACCAATAATTCCAGAAATGCCATTGAGCATTACCCACAACATGTCAAGTTTCAGATCCCAGTGCACATAGTAAGGACTTTCTTTTTTTTCCAGGAAAACCCCAACCTCCCCGCTTTCCTGGGCCAAGGAAGTTTTCCAATTAGTCATTGAAATGTTGCAACAACTCATTTTCAGAATTCTTCGGTTTTCCACTGTCTGCCTTGCTCCTAACCTGACCTCTCTCCGTTTGCAGGGGTTTGTGGGAAAGGCAACCCCCCCAACTCTTCACCCCTTGGAGGAGGAAGAGAGAATTTGGCAGATTTCAAAGCGCAATAAAGAAGGAGAAATGGGGGAAAAGATGTAAAAATATCCTTCTGTGGAGAAAGAAACAGCCTCGCTGGGGGGATCCCCAAAAAGAGTACAGTTGCCCTTACCTGGCTGCTTTGAGGGTTGGACCTTCAGTCATTGAACCTTCAGTGGTTGCAGCTTTGGAGACAGTTGAACCTTCAATGGTTGAACTTTGGGAGAGGGTTGAACCTTCAATGGTTGAACCTTCAGTGGTTCAACCTTGGGAGAGGTTTGAACCTTCAGGGGTTGAACCTTCAGGGGCTGAACCTTCACGGGTTGAACCTTCAGGGGCTGAACCTTCAGGGGTTGAACCTTCAGGGGTTGAACCTTCACGGGTTGAACCTTCAGGGGCTGAACCTTCAGGGGTTGAACCTTCAGGGGTTGAACCTTGGGTGGTGGAAGGGCAGAGGCGGCCACCAAAGCCACCAAAAGTGTTGTTCCCTCCTGGGACACGGGACTGAGCTCGGGCCGACCGGCGGTTTCCTGCTCGGGGCAGGGCAGTATGACACCCTGACGGGGAAGGGAGCAGAGCCCAGAACACTGCTCCTCAACACAGCCAGCCTGATTTCACCACTTTTCTCCCCAAAGTGCAGCCTCATTCCATTCCACCCTGTAGCACCGCGGCCACGTCTGGCTCCAGGCAAGGTGGGAGCGGGACGGCGCCCGGCCACGGTTGGGAACTTCCTCCACTTAATTAAATGATGCTTTTGATTGCGATGAGATATTTTGGGGACGTTAAGGTCAAAAAGACCAGATGTCCCCCAGAGACGCGGGCCCTCCACAGACCCACCCTCGGCCATCTTGGTCCTCTGTGGATCCCTCCAGCTGCCAGGTGGGACCGTGAAGCACCAGAAGAGGATCCAGGTGTTGGGGCGGTGGGTTTGTAGAGGAGCCCCGGGGTTTGGGTGGGATCAGGGGAGGAGCACCCACGGGTGGGGCAGCCCCCACCCCCACAGGAGCTCCGTCCTCCAGCACCGGCTTTGGGGCGACTCTGGGACACACAGACGCAATACCCGTGCCCCAACACCCCCCTCACACCCCAACAGTCCATCCCAAAACACCAGGTGGACACAGCCAGTGCGCTCCAGCTACACCCCAACTGCATCCCAACTGTTCCCATAAATCCCAACTGCGCACCTACAGCCCTAGGACAACCCAAGGTACACCCCAACTACACCTATACACCCCAAACACATCCCTGTGCCCCAACTACACCCCAACTACACCTATACACCTCAACTGTATGCCAAGTACACCCAACTGCACCCCAGCGACACCCCAACTACACCCATAGACCCCAGCTGCAACCTGACTACACCCAACTGCACCCAAAACACACCCCTGTCCCCCAACTGCACCCACACACGCCAAATGCACCCCAACTACACCCCAGGTACATCTGACTGCACCCCCAAATGCACCCCTGTGACCCAACTCCACCCATACACCCCAACTTCACCCCAACTACACCCGACTGCACCCCACACCTCCCACCTCCGCCAGCTACACCCCAATTTCACCCAACTGCACCCCAAACACATCCCCGTCCCCCCAACTCCACTCATACACCCCAACGGCACCCAACTACACCCCGACGTCAGTGAACACCCCCAAAACAGGCAGAACCACGCACCACCCGCGCTGCCCCAGCACCCCCAAGCCCCCCCTTGCCCCCCGTGCAGGGGGTGCCACCGGGGTCGGGGCCCCTCGTTAGGGCCCCTCATTAAGGCCACAGGAACTGGAAAACCAGTGGTTTATTTCACAGCTTTGGCCGCCCGTGACAGCGCCCAGATGGGGGGGCCCCCAGTCCCCCAATTTCTCCCCCAAAACGCCCCAAAACCAGGATCTGGTCCCACCCCTGCCAAGACCCAAACTTCTCCCCAAATGCCCCAAAACTAGAGCTTGAGGTGCCCTTCTCCTCCCCAAAAGGGCCCCAAATCCCCCCAGAATGGCCCAAAACCAGGGCCTGGTCCCACACCAGGGATCCCCAACCTTCCTGAGAGCCCAAATCCCACTGAAACACCCCAAAATAATCTTGTGGGGCAAGAGGGGGGGTGTCCTTCTGCGTCCTGGGGAGGGGGACCCTGGAGCATTTTCCAACGGGGAAATGGGGTCCCCCCAATCCACCCCCTCAACCCCAAAGTCCCTGTGGAAGATTTGGGGTCCCTCTGTCCTAGTGGGGTCCCTTCCCCCCACCCCAAGCACCCATGGGTGCCCCCGAATGGTGGGTTTGGGGTGCAGGGGGGGGCCCCGGGGAGCTCTTGGTGGCAGCGGGGTGAGGGGGGGTGTGGGGGTGTCCCGGTGGCCTCGTGTCCCCTCATTTTGCCGTCATCATCTGCACGAACTCTGGCGGGAGAGAGGGGGGACGGTGACGCGATGGGGACACGGTGGGGGACGGTGACACGGCGGGGACACGGTGGGGGACAGTGACACGGCGGGACACGGTGGGGACGGTGACGCGATGGGGACACGGTGGCGGACGGTGACAATGATGGGGACGTGGTTGGGGAGCCCCAAAAAGGTGACACGGTGACGTGTGGACCCTTCGCGAGGAAGGAACGCGGTGGGATCCCCTCGGTGGTGGTGACAGGAGACTGTGGATGTTGTCCCCCGCCCCGTTCCTGTCCCCGTCCCCAACGCAGGGCTCTTGCCAGGGGGGTGACAAGGGACACAGTGACATCCCAGGGTGGTGGTGACAGGGGCACAGTGGTGACTTAAGCTGATGGTGACGGGGAACGTGGTGTGACACCGGGGGATGAGTGACAACAGGGTCCCCTCCGGGTGCCAGCACGGACCCGAGGGTGACAGAGGAGACGCCGGGTGACAGCGAGGTGACGGTGACACTCACCCTCGTAGTTGACCTGTCCGTCACCGTCGATATCGGCCTCTCGGATCATCTCGTCCACCTCCTCGTCCGTCAGCTTCTCCCCCAGGTTGGTCATCACGTGCCGCAGCTCCGCCGCGCTGATGTACCCGTTCCCATCCTGGGGGGTTGGGGACGCGGCGGTGAGGCTGTGTCCCCAACCCCCCAGGATGGGAACGGGTACACCACCCCTGTCCCCTCCCTGTCCCCCACTCACCTTGTCGAAGACGCGGAAAGCCTCGCGGATCTCCTCCTCGCTGTCCGTGTCCTTCATCTTCCTCGCCATCATGGTGAGGAACTCGGGGAAATCGATGGTGCCGTTGCCTGCGGCGGGGCGGGGGGTGACGGGGGACAGTTGCGGGGAGGGGGGGACGGGGACGCAAGGGGACACTTGGGGACAAAGGTAGGGGGTGGGGAGGGCTCACCGTCGGCGTCCACCTCGTTGATCATGTCCTGCAGCTCGGCCTCGGTGGGGTTCTGGCCCAGCGAGCGCATGACGGTGCCCAGTTCCTTGGTGGTGATGGTGCCGTCCCCGTCCTTGTCGAAGAGCGAGAACGCCTCCTTGAACTCTGGGGACCGTCGCCGCGGGGACGGGGACGGGGGGGTCAGGGGCTGTCACCAGCGAGGGGACAGCCCGTGGGGCTGGGGGGGCGGGGGGGGCCTGGGGGGGGCACAGGTGGCACCAGCCCCGCAGCCGTGTCACCCCGGCAGTCAGCATCCCCGCTCCTGCGTGCCCTGGGGACACCCCCCCCACCTCACTGGCCCCTCCCGGGTGTCCCACTGTCACCCCGTCATACCCTCCCGGGTGTCCCACTGTCACCACAACACCCCAGTCTCCCCTCCCGGGTGTCCCACGGTCACCCCAGCACCTCACTGTCCCAGTTTGGGTGTCCCACTGTCACCCCAGCATCCCCTTCCCGGGTGCCCCACTGTCACCACAACACCCCAGGGTCCCCTCCTGGGTGTCCCAGTGTCACCACAACACCCCAGTCTCCCCTCCTGGGTGTCCCACTGTCACCACAACACCCCAGTGTCCCCTCCTGGGTGTCCCAGTGTCACCACAACACCCCAGTCTCCCCTCCCGGGTGCCCCACTGTCACCACAACACCCCAGTCTCCCCTCCTGGGTGTCCCACTGCCACTCCAGTAGCCCAGTGTCCCCTCCTGCATGTCACATTGTCACCCAGTGTCCCCTCCTGGGTGTCCCACAATCAGCCCAGTACCCCAATATCACCTCCTGGGTGTCCCAGCGTCACCACAACCCCCCAGTGTTACCCCCCACCCCACTGACTCCCCCCAGCCCAACCCTCCCAGTGCCCCCCCAAGCGTTGTCCCCCCCCCACCTGCGATCTGCTCCTCAGTGAGCTGGTCAGCCTGGGGGGGGGAGGGACACGGACACAGGTGAGGGGGCACCCACGGGACCCCCCCCAACACCCCAATGCCCCCCCAACACCCACAGCCCCCCAACAATCCCCAGCACCCACAGAACCCGCCAACAGCCCAACACCCCCCAGCACCCACAGCCCCCAACATCCCACCGACCCCCCAACACCCCTGAGCACCCACAGAGCGCCCCCCACACCCATCGGTGACCCGTTGTCATAGCAACCCAGTGTCACCGCCCCTTGGTCGCCATAGTAACACCGGTGTGCGCACACGCCCCCCCCGCCATGGCAACCCCCGGTGTCCCCCCCCCCCCAGCGACCCCTTGGTCGCCATGGCAACCGCGGAGGGACACCACCCCCCCTCCACCCCATAGCGCCCCCCCCTCCCCCGGTGCGCGCGCCCCCCCCCCCGCGCCCCATAGCACCCCTCGTCGCCATGGCAACGCCGGTGCCGCCCCCTGACCATGGCGCTCCGGTAGCGGCGGGAGGCTCCTGCGGCCGCAGCACCGCGGATCCCTCCGCTGGCTCCGCCCCTCCCGCAGGCCCTGCCCCTCCCCGTCAGGGCCCGCCCCCGGCGGAAGGATCCCGCTCGCTCGCTGTGCGCCGCCTCCTCGTTGGCGGAGGCAGCGCGGCAGGGATGAGAGAGCCGCCCTGATTGGCCGCGGCGGACCCGCAATGCGCCAAAGCGGCCGCGGGGGGAAGAAAGACCCGGAAGGGGGCGTGGCCTGAGGCGTCACGTGAAACGGAGAGCCCCACCCCCCCGGCCCGTCCACTTGGCTGTGGGGGCCGTGGCACGGTCGGCATGGCAACAGGCAGATAGCCCCGCCCTCCCGCCAATGGTTACTCCAGTCGCCAGGGCAACGGGGGGGCGTGGCAACCAGGCACCGCGCTGCCGCGGCGAGGGGCCGCTGGTTGCTATGGAAACAGGCTTCCCCCCCCCCCCCCCCCCGGGTCTCCATGGTAACAGCGGAGGCTGTTCCAACGACACTCACCCCCCTTCCCGGACTCCTGGGGCCCCGCCCAGTTTACAATAATTACTTTATTTTAACATCATTAATTACAGACGGTAAAATCGCCCGGCGGGGGGGTTGGGGGGGGCACGTCCGAGGGGGGGGGCGGGGCTTGGGGAGGGGCAAATCCTGAGCAAACCCCCCCACAATCACCCCTCTCCCCCCCCCATCTCCATGCACCTATTGCTTGGGGGGGGGGGTGGGTGGGGAACCCCCCCCCGGGAGGGGTGTGGGGGGGCAATGCCAGCAGAGTGACCCCCCCCCCCATAATTCCCCCCCGGCCGCCCCCCTTTCCCCCCCCCCCTCAGGGTGCTGCCCCAGTTCCTGCCCAAACTGGGAGCACTGGAGGAGGTGGGGGGGGCGGGAATAAATACAATCTTCCAATATTTTAAAAAACCCCCCCAGGGTGAGGGGGCGCTGGGGGGGTCACATCATGCCCAGTTGCAGCAGGGTGTTGGCGTACATCATGGGCTTGACATTGGGGTGAGGCTGGGGGGCAGAGAGAGGGGGGGGTCTGTGAGGAGGGGGGCCCCCCCAAAATATCCCAGCCCGTGCTAACCCCTGTCCCAAGAGCCCCCCCCAAATAGCCCCTATGAACCTCCCCAGGCCATCAACCCCCCTCAAATAGCCCCTATGAACCCCCCTTAGCCTCCCCCCAGCCATCAGCCCCCCCCCAAATAGCCCCTATACACCCCCCTGAGCCCCCCAATATCTCTCCCCCAGTCCCTGAACACCCCCCACTAGCCCCTATGAAGCCCCCTTCCCCCCCCACCCCCCCCCCCAAAAAAAAATAAACAGACAGAAGTCTTAAGGGGATCTAGGGAAGGGTTTTGGGGAGTCCCAGAGGTGGGGGGGGTTTCTGGGGATCCCCAGAGAGGGTTTGGGGGGGTCCCCAGGTTTGAGGGGGGGTGAATCTGGGAGATTTAAGGTGGTTTGGGGGGGGGTTGGGGGTCCCAGGGCTGAGGGGTGTCCCCGAGGTGGGGTTTTGGGGGGGGGGATGTCACCAAAGAAGGATTGCGGGTCACAGATTTGGGGGGTGGCCAGATTTCAGGAGTGTTTGGGGGTCCCCAGGCTCAGGGGAAGTGGGGGGGGTCCCGTCCCCGTCCCCCCCCCCAGACTCACCACTGCTGTGAACTGGTGGAAGTCGGGGCGCAGGTCGCTGCCTCGCAGGTGGATGTAGGAGCCCTTATTGCCCATCTGGTCGCTGCAGAGAGGAGGGGGGGGGGGACACTTGGGGACACCAAAACACACCCTCCCCACCCACCTGGGGACCCCTGGGGACACCGAGGTATGGCACTGGGACAGCAACACCCCGCACAGGGATGCCCAGACGTGGTGACACTGAGATGGGAACAGGAGATACTCTGGGACACCAAGGCTCAAAAGACACCCAGGGACCAAGGTGAGGGGACACCGAGGCACAAGGGACACCCAGGGACCAAGGTGAGGGGACACCGAGGCACAAGGGACACCCAGGGACCAAGGTGAGGGGACATCGAGGCACAAGGGACACGCAGGGACCAAGGTGAGGGGACACCGAGGCACAAGGGACACCCAGGGACCAAGGTGAGGGGACACCGAGGCACAAGGGACACCCAGGGACCAAGGTGAGGGGACACCGAGGCACAAGGGACACCCAGGGACCAAGGTGAGGGGACACTGAGGCTCAGGGAACACTCAAGGACTGAATGAGGGGACAGTGAGGCTCAGGAGACACCCAGGGACCAAGGTGAGGGGACACCGAGGCTCAAGGGACACGCAGGGACCAAGGTGAGGGGACACCGAGGCTCAAGGGACACCCAGGGACCAAGGTGAGGGGACACCGAGGCTCAAGGGACACCCAGGGACCAAGGTGAGGGGACACCGAGGCACAAGGGACACGCAGGGACCAAGGTGAGGGGACACCGAGGCACAAGGGACACGCAGGGACCAAGGTGAGGGGACACCGAGGCACAAGGGACACGCAGGGACCAAGGTGAGGGGACACCGAGGCACAAGGGACACGCAGGGACCAAGGTGAGGGGACACCGAGGCACAAGGGACACGCAGGGACCAAGGTGAGGGGACAGCGAGGCTCAAGGGACACCCAGGGACCAAGGTGAGGGGACACTGAGGCTCAGGGAACACTCAAGGACTGAATGAGGGGACAGTGAGGCTCAGGAGACACCCAGGGACCAAGGTGAGGGGACACCGAGGCACAAGGGACATGCAGGGACCAAGGTGAGGGGACACCGAGGCACAAGGGACACGCAGGGACCAAGGTGAGGGGACACCGAGGCTCAAGGGACACCCAGGGACCAAGCTAAGTGGGGACACCAAACCTCAGGGGACACCCAGGGACAAACTGAGAGGACACCAAGGCTCAGGGGACACCCAGGGACTGGGCTGAGGGGACACAGAGGCTCAGGTGTCACCCAGGGAGGACAGTGTGGCTCAAGGGACACCCAGGGACCGGCTGAGGGGACACCAAGGGACACCCAGGGACAAACTGAGGGGACACCAAGGGACACCCAGGGACAAACTGAGGGGACACCAAGGCTCAGGGAACACCCAGGACTGGGCTGAGGGGACACAGAGGCTCAGGTGTCACCCAGGGAGGACAGTGTGGCTCAAGGGACACCCAGGGACCGGCTGAGGGGACACCCAGGGACACCCAGGGTGCACACAAGCCCGAGAGCGGGCGCAAGGAGGAGCTCCTCCCCGCTGGCAGTGACGTCCCCCTTGTCCCCAAGCTCCGGTGGCACTCACCAGTAGTTGGGGGCGGAGAAGACGGTGACACATTTGCCATCGTGGGCCACCTCGTAGCCCTCGGGCTTCACCTCGTGGCTGCGGATGATGTAGTCGAGGCGGTTGCGCTCCAGGAAGCTCTTGGTGACATCGGGCCCGAACTGGCAGCTGACCCCGCGCTTGCTGACGGAGCGGCCGTTCTGCGGGAGGGCCGGTGTCACCGGGACGCTGGGGACACCGTGGTGGCCATCCCCAAGGGGGGGACACACACACACACGCAGAGGTTCAACTCACCTGGGGCTGCGGGTCGGACCAGAGCAGGTCACACATGGGACCTGGGGGAAGCAGAGGGGGGGTCAGGGTCCCCCGTCCACCCCAGAGGGGACACCCTCGGAGATGGCAGGGACACCGCAGGAGGGGGGGGACACATGAGGACAAGGGACATTTCTTGGGGTTCATCTCCCACCTGAGTCTGGGGGCTGCCGGTTCCGCTCGATTTTCCGGATGTCATCGAGGGTGACGCCGTCCTCGCTGAAGAGACCCCCGTGCATGATCTGGGACAGAAGCCACGGTGGTGGGGAGACAAGGGGGGGGACAAGGGGGGGGGACCCCGAGCCCCTGAGGAGGGCAGGGACGCCCCCACCTGTGACAGAAAGGAGCCCCAATTCCCCAAGGATAGGAATGGTGGGGGCCCCCCCCACCGAACCCCAACAGGGATGGGGACCACCCTGACTCACTGGGGACCAGCACCACCAAGCCCCGGCAGGGATGGGGTCACCTCAACTCCACGGGGACATCGGGGACCCCCCATCCAAACCCCACCAGGGATGGGGTCACCTCAACTCCACGGGGACATCGGGGACCCCCCACCCAAACCCCACCAGGGATGGGGTCACCTCAACTCCACGGGGACATCGGGGACCCCCCACCCAAACCCCACCAGGGATGCGGTCACCCCAACTCCACGGGGACATCGGGGACCCCCCACCCAAACCCCACCAGGGATGGGGTCACCCCAACTCCATGGGGACATCGGGGACCCCCCACCCAAACCCCAGCAGGGATGGGGTCACCTCAACTCCACGGGGACATCGGGGACCCCCCACCCAAACCCCACCAGGGATGGGGTCACCTCAACTCCACGGGGACATCGGGGACCCCCCACCCAAACCCCACCAGGGATGGGGTCACCTCAACTCCACGGGGACATCGGGGACCCCCCACCCAAACCCCACCAGGGATGCGGTCACCCCAACTCCACGGGGACATCGGGGACCCCCCATCCAAACCCCACCAGGGATGGGGTCACCTCAACTCCACGGGGACATCGGGGACCCCCCACCCAAACCCCACCAGGGATGCGGTCACCCCAACTCCATGGGGACATTGGGGACCCCCCACCCAAACCCCACCAGGGATGGGGTCACCCCAACTCCACGGGGACGGAGGGGACCCCCCACCTCAACAGGGAGCTCACGGGCAAACCCCGCTGTGTGGGGACATCCCGGGGGGGGACGGGGGGGGCCCCCTCACCAGGACTTTGCCGTTGATGCACTGGGCCAGCGGCAGCCACTCGAAGACCTCGCTGAAGAGGGCGAACATCTGCGCCGTGTACTTGGCCTTCACCTCCCCCTCGAAACCGTAGATCTGGTTCATGTTGTCCGTCTCGTGGTTCCCTGCGGGGGACAGGGTGACACTGCCAGGCCTGGGGGACACGGGGCAGGGGACAAAGCCCAACAGCTCGACCCGGAGACGGGCAGGGAAGGAGGTCCCCCCAGTCCAGGATGGGGGACACAATGTCCCGAGGACGGGTGACACAGCTCAACCCTGGGATGATGCCCCACAACTGGGGACAAGGGACAAGCCAGGGTGGTGGAGGGGACACAAGCTGTCACCCGCGATGGCCGCGTTACCTCGG